TTAATTTTATTTCTATATTTCTTTCAATTTTACCACAAATTAAATAAAACTGACTAAATTTCATTGTTCGTGAACTGACTTAGTTTTGCAAACTATAAATTGGATAGTTTTACTGGCTAGAAACTGGCTAGTTTCATAGCCATTTTTTGGTTACAAAAATTTCTACCACTTGACCATTAACTAGCCGGAAAAACTAGTCAATTTCTAGCCACTGATTAGTAAAAAATGGTTGTTTACTGATCGATAAGAAAAATGGTTATTTGGCAAAATATAAAAAAGACTAGGCGACTTACACTACAAAATCAAGCTAGACGATAGTAGATGAACACAACACGTAAATCAAATGAGGAAAGTCGCTGAAAATACAACAAAGGTGCAAGGGGCACTCGACCCAAATTGTACAAACTATCATATAGACAATGAAAAAATGTTAAATGCAGCTAGTAATAACGAAACTGAGCCAGTTCGTTTAAAATTGTGTTGAAACAGTATCGATGCCAGATCGAGCATGAAACATAATATGTAGATTTATTACTCGTTTTGAATTTTGTCGCTCTACAGGAAACTAACACAAGCCTGAATTGGCTCAGTTTCATTGTTAATAGCTGTATAAGAAGTACAAATACTGTAAGACCACAAACAGAATTGGAAACGCAGCAAAAGCGTACGCGCGTGCGCCTTCAAGTTCATCCGAAGGTCATGGTATCTAGGTCGTTGAATTCGTTTTGATACGGGCTATAAAACTGTTAAGTTAAAAATACAAAGTGCCACTTAAAAAAATGAAGGTGACCTTGACAATAATAAAAAAAAGAATTTTTCATTCCAACTTTTTTCTTGCAATGTATAGCTAATCGAAAACTGATCAACTTTTGTTGAAAATATTTTTTATCAGATTATCGCAAGTACTTGAAAAATTGTGAAAAGAGTTACGTGGGACACCTTGCATATACGCCTTATCCCATACATCAGTTTACAACATGTTTAATTATCAATAATAGTGATTTACTTACGATATCGTATCGCAACTTCCATAATCAGTTGAATGTTCCTGGATGAAACCAATGATTTTGTTTGGAATTTATTAGGTTAATTGAATTTTGCACGTACATACCACATATGTATTTGTATGATTCCTCGTGAAGTGAGATCAACGACTGTTTACCGATATGAATTCTGTACAGAAATAGCATAATACTAGAAATGGTAGCTCACGACGCTGATGATTGAAGTAGCAATTCGAAGATGGCTGAATGAGTATGTACACAGCCGTCTTCTAAAATAATCGTTGCGCATGCGCAGATATGTAAATATTATTTATTGATCCTCTACCTTCCGTACTGCCACATTGGATTGCTGGCTTCGCTGAAGAGTACACTTCCATTATGAGTATCCATATTTTTGTTTAAAATATTTTTCGCTAGGCTCAATAATTCATGAGTAATTGAAAAAACCAACAAGTTTACGGCTTACCGACTTTTACAGTTTATTGTTAATTAGTCGTTAAAATAATTAACAATTCACGTAATCATGACATTTACAAGCTTTATGTAAGATTGTACAAGCCGTAACGTCTCGACGACAAGTTTGAAGTAGAACACTCGAGAAATGTAATAAAAAGCTATGTCCAATGTTTCTGAAACGTTGAATATCTAGGAAGAATGATATTGTATGATATGTATTTTTTTCTTTCTATTTATGTACATACCTGTCCTTAGATTTTTATTTTTACACTGCTACGAATGTTACATTGCATGTAACAAATTGTATCAAGCCATTAGTATTGAAACGCATACATTTATAC